CTGTGGTTTGTAGTATGGAAATGCTGATAAACCACAGCATCAGAAAATGTGGTGTCTAGATCTAGGGGTTTGATTTTTTAATTTTTTTAAATTTTTATTTTAGGCACCTTCATATCCAAAGGTTTAGCTGACTACAGAGGAAGACATGAATGCAGAATCTAGGACACACTCTCCAGTTCACAAAGTCTAGCACAGCCCCAGCTCGCCTTTGTAGGACCTGTGTAGCAAAATGACTTGGCATCTAAGTAATAATTCTCATGTCCCCATCACTCTAACTGTACAGTGCTGAGCAAATCACTCTGTCTCTTTGGCTCACTTACACATGTAAGAACTGTGCTCATAGGCCTGTGGGACAGCAGGAGAAAGGCTAGTGAATTTGAGCCTTTTTCAATATATAAAGTCAAACGGTAAAAGCTGCTGTGCACCCTGTTCATGGGCTTTGTGATTCTGCAGTTGCAGGGAACCTTCATCTTCGGAGCATCTGAAGAAGGGGGTGAGTCAGGTGACATGCTGTCTGAGGGCTGAGCAGTGCTTAACATGCCAGGCAGATGTCAGGCATCTTCCACAATCAATGACTGTGTTACTGAATTACACAAAATTCACAATGAACAGGTCTTTAATTAAACATTAAATCCAGTCCTCAAGCGTATGTACATAGATCTATATTGTCAATGACAACTCTTCTGCTTAAGCAGTAATGCATCTATCAGATTGAATTGGAGAATCAGTCACATTGTGCTAGTTTTTTCTATTTTGATCAAGGCTGTGGTGGTCGAGTTTAGCTACTAAAAGCTACTGACTTTCTTACTACAGTTTAGCTGTATATAAAGGCATGCTGAGAATCTGTAGGTTCAATTTAATCTTGTAGTAAGTTATCCTTATAGTTTGCTGTAAATCTATAGCTATGTATTTATACCTCCACAGGGAACAAAGGAGAAAGATTTCCTAGTTACAGTCAACTCATATTGTCAGGGATGTGAATTATTCCAAATGAGGTTGGGGGCTTGGAGGCGGTGCAATTTAGTGCATTATTTCAACATATATATATCTTGGAATATGAAATTTTGATTTACCTGAGCCCGTGGACATCAAGGACTAATTACTTTTTTTCAATTTTTATTCAGACCTCTTGTCAGCTGATTGCAAATTGAGCTTTGTTAGCTGAGAGTTTAGTGAATGTTTCTGAATTTTTCATTTGGCAGCTGTGCCTACCTTTAAGTAAGGAACACAGGGAGGAGGTCAAGACATTTTTTAAAAGCTGACCTGCAAAGAATTTGTATTAAATTAGTTATGTCTTGCTTTTGTAAAGCCCATGAAGTTTTAAGAAAAAGAAAAGCATTAGGAGTTTTCTTCCCCTCTAGCCCAATCTCCTTTGTAGATCATCTTGAAAATTAGTTGTTGGGAATACCAAACCTGATCTTCCCAAGCTGGCTGGCAGACTACTGAGGATATGAGGAGTCTGTACACTGTTAGTCCAGCTATTGTAAAGCCCAAGTCATGAGTCACCATATAACACGCTTTAAATTATCACAGTATAAAACCCCAAACATTTTGGTGATCTTTAGCTTGTTCCTGGAGTCGTATTTTCAAGCTTATTGCAAAAAGCTAAGATTTTTCTTTTACCTAATCACGTAAGCCCGGAAACTGGGACTATCAAAAAAGCAGGAAACAGGATAATGTCACTCCCCAGACTGGCCACACCAAAGTACTTAAAAATTCATCAGAATGGTGGAGCAATGGTTTGACTCTAACCACAGCATTCTTTCTCCAGAGCATTCATTAAATGCTAGAAGTAAGCGTTTAGCTGAAAGTTAGAATAATATTTTCAATTCTTCAAGCAGTTTCTTTCCAAATGTTGAACTTTCAGTTCCTTGCCTCTTGGCATGTCATAATTTCCCCCATTCTCCAGGCTTCATACAGTCTTCCAAAATAAAGATGAGCACTCTGAAAAGTCATTGGAAAGTAACTTACTTACCAACTTTACCTGCTGTCTTTTAAACATCAAAAATAAGTATGCCCACTGGCTTTGTCTTTTGCTATTTGTCATTCAAAGCCCTTTTGCAATGGCTAGAAGGCAGAAACATGGAGACGCAGCTGACATCTGAGACTTGGGTCAAACCCCACTGTTAGGCAGGCAGAAGCATAGGTTTCTGTGAGAAAAGTAGGTACAGGAGAGAAAAAAGCACAGGGTGAAGTTTTAGTTTCTGTCTAGCTTGCATTCCACTTTTGAATATGGACTATTTTTATCTTTCTTTCTCAAATTTGTTAAAAAATGTGTATTATAGCTGCAGAGTATGCTGCCAAAACTAACCGTAGGCAGCTCTAGAGGCAGAGTGAAGGGCCAAGGAATGAGTTTTGAGTCTGACCCTGAATCAAGGCCAAAACTGTGGGGGAAGGGAACATAGTAGATCTAATTGAAGGCATTCAGTATTTCTGTATGACTGACGATGGCATGGTGTTTGACGTTTGGATTCCTTTACTATCCTACAGTTTTTATATGGAGTAGCCTACCCAATAAGACCCATTATCCAGTTAACTTGTTTGCAAAGTGTTTACACACAAGTAAAATAAGCTTCAGTAAAATGTGGAGCGCATATTATGTGTGCAGTATCTGTTCATGCAACATGTGCTTTGTAGAGTTCATACTTACTGCTGAAATGTTTATGCTGGTTGAATCAGGTACTGTTAAGTCTTCCCTACATTTCTAAGACATGATTTAATCTCTCTCTGTGCTCCACTTTGGGTTTACTGGTGTTTCTGGCTCATGCCTTGTGACCTGAAGTATATCCATTCTACAGTTCTGGACACAGTTAAATGCCCTGTTTTATTGGTAAGACTCTTTTCTGTCTAAATAATTTCAGGGGATGCTTGTGTTATGATTAGGTCTGTAGACACAACTGATTGATAGTGAAAGTTAATATCTCCCACAGTAAAACAAGACTAATCAGGCAATCAAATCTGGTGTTACACATGTACAAATACTTTAATCCTATACAAGAATCTCTAAATCCAAAATTCAGTTATAAAACCACTTTTATTGTTCTTGGCTGTCATAATTATGGATAAGCAAGGAGACACCATGTGGTCAGGAAAGGCCTACCTTGTTACTCTGTTGGTTTCTAAAAGCCCATGACCTTGGACTTAAGATATAGTGGGTTTATTTTTAACGTAAGAACACAGATGTTTTCTGTAAATAGAATAATGGAAGAGATTTGCCTTGTAATTTATCAAAGGATCAGCAAAATGTGAGGGGATGGAAAAATAAGTGTGTTTTAGTACGAAATATTTTAAGACAAGCTCAGCAAAATCAGTGTGTCTTGACAAAAAATGTTTTAAAATAACTTCAAATTTATAATTTGGCAATGCTGGCATTCTTGTGATTAAAAGACTGCATATATGACCTCATCAAACAGAACAGGATACTTTATAATACATGTATAGCTTATTTTTAAGCAATAAAGAGAGCATGTTATGGTATGGTTTAGAATGAAACTGTTTCTACCTGAGGAGATCTCTGCTATCTGCGATTTATCCTTTCTTGTTAGACCAGATAAGCCATTAATGTTTCTGTCATTAAAACTTCACTTTGGCAGACTTTTTAAAAAATTTTTATTTTATTTTAGTGGTAAAGCATGTTAAACTTGTGTCACATTGCATTTTAAACTTCTTACGTATGCAGTGTTTCCTACAAAAGCTTTGATAAGACTACTCATCAAAGAACAATCCTGTTTAGAAATGTGGATGGAGTCATCTTTCTTTATCAACAAGTATAGTCTGTTCACGGTGGAAGAGGCACTGTGACTCTGGAGAGCCTACCTGTGGGGTGATAGCAGACTCCTCATTGATTGCAGCCTTAAGATACTCTCTTAAAAGTAGTTACCTGACGAGCCTTGTTTCTCATGCTGCTATATTACAATATGCCTCTTCATATTTCCATTTAGCTTGGTTAGATAGTCATTACTCTATAGCGCCACTGCCTTTTGTAAAATTAATCCCGCTAAAGCTGTTTTTCCTGGCTGTAAGCCACAAAGGGTGCTCAAAATGGGGAAAAGATGATACGTTTGGCAGTCTGCATGGGTGTGCATACTTTTTTCTGTGGACAAAACCAGCTCAGGATGATTTCCGATGCTGAAGAACCGGTTAGTGGCATCCTGTTTCAGGGACAGGGTTAGTTTCTGATTCCCTCATTGCTTTCCTGCAGAGCCTGAGTAGTCAGCAGAAGCAACTGCCGTGCATGGAGGGAGGATACAGCTAATCTGCTGCTTTTGCTGCATCTGCTGATGCTGCAGTGCAAGCTGCCGTGTGTGCTACAACGAGTTATCACTCGTTGTTCTGGTTTTTTTTGGGACAGCCTATGAGGGCTCCTATCAAGCACATTTGGGCATATGTTTGTTTTCAAGTTACATATTCACGAAAGAGGTGATTGCCTAGGAAACACAGGTGTTTCACTTTCTGTTGCCTCTGGAATGGCACTGTGCCCACCTGTCATAGCACACATGCACATTAGTTACCATTCCTACAGTCTCAGATACCTCTAACCACTGTGCAGTCCTCTATAAAGCTGTATGTAGTTACCTCCAGATTTTACTTAGGAGTGGAATGTGATTGGAAATACCTGCTTCTACTGAAAATCAGAAGTCTTTATTTACAATAAGGGAAAGATGAGTTGCTTTTTTTTTGTTTCAGTTACTGATTGCTGCTGTGTTCAATACATCTTCCAGGCTGTGTGTAATCTTGCAATGATCTTTAACGTACTAATGCAGCACATCTGCTTGATCACACCCCACACACTGGCTGCCTCCTTTGAAGTCTAACATTTTACAGCTCAGGAGCCCTTCTGCTACTCCCACAGCAAAATTTTGTTATAAGAGGTGCAGGTCCCTGTCTGACTCCTTACTGAGGACTGACAGGGTTTCTGCAGCTGGCAGCACAGCCTCCTTTGCAGAGGCAGACCATTAATATCACAGCCTAAGCCTGCTTGTCATGTTTTCTTTCATTAGGTTTGCAGCAGTCCTCCTGGTTGGACTCCAAAGCACAGTGACTGTACCAAACAGAGAGGCAGAAAACCCTGGTTACAGGGGCGTACCAGCTGCTGCAGCTGGTGGAGTGCTGGCCTGCCAAGAGCAGGTTAGTGTTGGTTGGTGACATTTTCAGGTGTCTACAGTGCATAGCAGGCATGTGATTTCCTCCACATGTGCTGGATGTAGCTTCTCCATTTGTTCAGTTGAATGGGGAGGGCTTCTGATTAGCAAAGTTTTATGTGGTTTTTGAAAGCAAATTTTAAAAGATCAAAAAATGGTTGCTTAATGGTTAGCACTTAGAAACTGGAGAATCTTGGAAGACTTGGAGAAGAATTTCTCCTTATCATCTCAACTTTATCCTTTTGCATTTTCTGGTTGTATACATACCTATATGACACATGTTGGGTCATGACCTGTGGCCATCCCAGGTTTATATGTTATTAATTATATCTGTGGTGTTGCTTAGAGGTGACAGAAAAGCAGAGCGCCACTACTGTGAGTGCTGTATGAATAAGGCCTTTAGCAATAAATATAATATGTCTCTTTGCTTATTTGTTTTTCCCTTCCCCCAAGAAAACATTTTTAACAGCTCGTATTCAAGTGTCAGGAGTAAGAACCAGGACCTCCAAACACAGAGGTAAGAGTACAGCGAGGAAGTGGTTAACTGCAAGACAGCAGTTCACAGCAGTGGAGAAATGGGATGTGTGGTGAACGTGCCATTCATCTGTGGGTTATGCCTGCAAGCAAGGAGATACCACATTCTATATGAGTAGGGGATGGATGGAGGTCATACCTGTGACAGATGTAACCCCTGGCCGCGCAGGCTGCAAAAACAGACCAGGCAGGGGCAGCACACACAACGGTGGTTGGCACGCTCCAGCCCCAGCAGACATAACTCCTGCTTTTGGCGCTGATGGTACACCTCTCCATGTCTGTGGGAGATGGCAGGCTGCTCTGGGGCAGAATTAGGTTTTATGTACTTTCCACACCGTTGCTATATTCGAATATCCATTTTTTGTAAGTCTGACTTTATTTAACAGTTCCCGCAGTTTCCATGCGCCACCACAGGTTTCAAAGCAAACGGCGTATTTTCAAGAACACTCTGCTTGATGACGACCTTTACTCTTTGCACTCATCGCTTTTATTGGGGATGGCAAACACGATGCCCCATCTCCCACCCGCCGCCCTGCCCCACTCCCTGCCGGGGCAGCGGGGCTGCCTTTTTTTTTTTTTTTAGATTGCAGTAACCGATAGAAAAGCTGCCAAATGCAATGTCGGAGGCGGGTGCCCGCCTCAGTGTGAATTTTAGCAGAGGTACGTGTGCCACCTAGAGGAAGCCCGGCCGTTTGTGGGGGGGCGGAGGACGCCGCGCTGCGCTCCGCGGCGCGCTCCCACCGCCCGCCGCCGCCGGCGGGTAGGGAGCAACCTGGCATGGCGGCCTGAAGTTTTATGCCAATGAGGGATCTGCAAAAAACCCCCGACACGCAGCAATGATTGAATTCTCTTAGGAAAGCTCAGTAAATGGCGTGCTGTGCCTCTGTGTTTGCAAAGCTTTTGCATATCCCTGGAAAAGAGGCTAAGAACGCTGTCCTCTTCTATTCCAGTAAAAGAGAGAACGCCTTCGTTTGCATATTTTAGTAGTCCTGACATTTGTTAATGCTGTGTAGTTCCTAAGATGCAGAAAGAACCATCTCGGACCCGGCAAAAGCAGAATTCATCCTTCCCTCTCGCTAGAACATTCAGTTTTAATTTGTGTCTCCTTGTTTTTTGAACCTTGCGTGATCTGATGCTTCTGGCATGTACCAGCTTTAGATCAGCTGACAGAAAGTTCAGGAGATCTCCTGTTCAGGATGAGGCCACACAGGGAGGAGCAGATGGAAATGAGAGCGGTTGCTGCAAGGAATGGGAAACATAAGGTAGTGGAAGAGAGGAGAAAATAGAATGAAAAGGGAAGAATGCGAATTACAAATACAAAACAGCAAATACTAGAAAAAGGGCAGTGAAAGCAAAGAAATCCACAGGGCAAATATGGTTGCCTTTTATTCCTGCAGCATCCTTGGTCCTTTGCAGAACCCAAGAGAAGGCAGCTGTGATGGATGTTGTTCATGCAGTTCCTTGTACTATGTCTTATTTTAAGACACAAAACAACTCCTGGACCAGGGTCACAGGCATCCAGGTGGTCTCCTCTTACATATATCCTGGTTTACATAGTAAGACCTTGCTCACAAAGAACTGAACTCTGAACAGGACTGATTTCAGTGAGCACATTTAAGTTTTCTCTCAAATTTGTTTGCAATGCTCATTTCTACCATGCCTGTCCCTTTGTGAAGTTGGGAATGCAAGGACACCGGCTGAAGCTGTCTAATTCAAAGTAATGGTTGCTTGTGAGAATGTTAGCGGCTTGGGAGCAAGAGACAGAGCCTCATAACCTCATTCCCAGTTCCCCAGATCTTGCAATGTAGCAGAAAATCTGTGTCTCAGATTTGCATCCTTTCCATTCACTGTAGTTCCAGTACTGAGATTTTGGGGGATGACTAAGCTCTATTTTGCATAAATATAGAGCCTCAAGTGTGGCTGAACAACCCCATGCCATAAATACTTGTTCAAGTAGGACCTACACTGGCAAGGAGATGATTCTGCATGGAGTCATGTGCACAAAGTTTCTTGTGGGTCAGAGACCCTCAGCTATTTGCAGGCATGAATCTTCAAGCACTGCTGGAACCGCAAAGCAGGGTTTCAGTGCAGCAGTCATTGCTTGACAAGGTCAGCTCCCTGGTTTCAGATCATGTGTTTGTTTTAGCGAACTGGCCTAGTTAAAGGAAGCAATCCCATCCCTGGGCCACAGGTTCAAGCTGAGGGAGCAGTGGGGAAGTTAGGTCTTGTTAATTAGAGATCTACAGAGCACTTGCTCCTTGGAGACATGTACAAGCTGAAGCACAGCAAAATACCCCGTGATTGCTGCTGCAAAATGTACAGACAGTGATGTAAGGCCAAGTTGTCACATTCGCTAACTTTACCCTGATTTCGTTGCACTAAAAGATGTTGAAGCCTCATTTAAAGGTTTCTGAATAGAAACTACAATGATTCAGTGGCTTTAAAGAACTAAAAATTTTCCCCAAAGCTCATTGTCACATTGCTTACAAAATAATTTGGAATAATCATTAATAAACAGTACACTCTGTCCACATTTTGAAACCTTTCATGACTTCTCTGATAAGTGACTAATATTAGGGGATGACTAACCAGGGTCAGAGTATATCTGACCTGGCTTTTTTCACTGACCTCTTTTGATGACATCAGCCTCACACACAAGGGCCTCACTCACAAGGAGACTCTATAACATCTATTAACTGTTTGACACCATGGGATCTCCAAGTGTTTACTGCAAATGACAAACCGATGAACAACACCACATGGGAAGTACTTCGCCCTGTAGGCACTTGCTCACTGGCAGAAGCTGAGGAAGGTGCAAACACAGTGGGGCAAGCTCAGGTGACAACTTGTGGCTTGTCTCCTACTCCATGATACCGTCTAACTGGTGTAAATGTGATGAAGCTTCCCCGCCTGTGGAAGAGGAACAGGCAGCCTCACCCCCTCATTTACTCTGCACTATTTACTGAGGTCGTTGTCTACTGAGGTTGGCGACATCTGTGGCTGATCAGTACCACACTGTGCAGCAGCAAAAGGATCTGGGACATTGCACAGCAACAAGGAGCAATGCTGGGCAGTTGTGCTTGCAAAAGCAGGTACCTCATGGCAGCACCAGGCATTTCAGGACATCTCTGCACAGTCTCAGGGAACATATGCAGACATACTCGCACTACCTTTCAGCTACCTGGCCTGGTTATTGAAGTCAGGGTGAAAGTGCTTTCAGTTGCTAAGTACTTAGCGTTATGCTGCTGCAAATTCATTATTTTCTGTACCCACGTTAGCTAAAAATCATCTAAAGCAAGTCTGAGAGCATGTACACACTGCAGTGGTGCCTCCCTCTTGCCTCCCTGTGTGCAGCATAGAGTCTGCTGTTTTTCTGGTGTGATGAAACTCATTAGCCTCTTGTGTTGTGTGTAGAGGAGAGGTAATGTTCAGCTTCCCACTGCAGGGAAGAAGAAAAATACAGCCTCCTCAGTACGACAAGGTGATAGATCCACTTCTTAGAAGTGAACAGAGGATAAGTTCACTTCTTAGAGGATGAGAGTTGAAGTCATTAGTAAAGGAGTCATGAGCAGATGAGGAGGTGGCTGTAACCTTGTATTCCTTCCCAGCACCTTTGTGTCAGATGCCTTTGTTGAGGAAGTCATCACTGGGTCAGGTTTAATATGAAAAATGAGATGTGGGGGGAGTCCCTTTCTCATTTTAACACACAGAAGGCTTCCCACACAGGGAAATGTGGTTCTTCTACTAACCCATCATGGGTCTTGCATCAGCAGGCAGTTTTCAATTTAGTCACTTTGATGCTAGATCTTCCTGAAGAGGAGACAGTTTTGATACTGGTCAGTTCATTTCATTAGTTCCAGGCAGACTCCTGGGTGGGTCATGGAATTTTGCAGACTAGAGCAGGTGCTCACTAGGAGCTGAGTTTGGAGTTTGTTTTTATTGTGATCTGCAGTAACAAGAGAGACAAAGCTCAGCAGAGAGGTAAGCTGACATTACATTCGTTTTGAAGTCTAAGAAACGGTTTCTATTTGTACCATGGTTGGTTCCAGCCCAGTCTTGCTTCTGCAAGCAAGATGAGTAGGACACTGTATGACTGTAAAAAATAAAACACTGTGGAGGAAATATTTTTTTGCAAGATCAGTGCCATAATCAGCTATAGATCTGTGCCCATCTCAAAAGTAGACTTTTTTTAGTTGAACATGTGTTAAAGAAAACTGCTTCCAAGGGCATGTTACAGCTCCTCTTTAGAATACATGATTTATCTTTAAAAAAAAACTCACAGGGAAACACCATAAAGAAACCAATGCTATAAAGCAGTTGTATCCATATAGATATTGTCACCTGACTTTCTATTCCGAGAAAGAACCTATTGCATACTGAAATAAGATTAAATATGAAAACATATGCTATGGAAAAAAATGTTTACTTACCCCTGGTTGGCCCTCTCTAGCA